TACTTGAGCCCTAAGAAATCGATTTAACTAGGTTATAGTATCCTAGTCGATTTCTATTTCTATTTTAGATAAGTACAAAATATACCTAACTAGAATATAATACATGGAAATAAATCTAAGTCCTAATAACAATATTACAAGAATATGACTCTAATTAATTCCAAAATAAATATGGAAAACAAATCTTTGCCAATATTTAATTTCCACATATGGCAGATTTCTTCAATCTTCACTAACATAAATCTGGCGCCAACAGAATTAATAAAATCGGAGGTTGTATGTGACAAAATTATAATCAAAATAAAAAAGTTTGTAAGAATACACAATCTTACATTGACCGTAAAACTAAACCCGCTCCACCACCCCTTTTATCGAACAACCCTTATTCCCCAACCACTTAGGGCCCGTCTGATAGGTGCTTAATGACCTATGAATGGAAAAAAATACTGATTCGGTCAGCATCATACTGTTAAGAGTGTTCGGTAAGATAGTCTGAATAAAGCCATTAATTGCTGGCCGATTCAGCCCAAATAATTGGGCTTATTCATTCAACATTATGCTGAATGGATTTTAGACTATTTTATCCTTGTTGTGCACACAGTGTTTGAACCACCTTTTTCTTCAATTCTTCCTTAAATAATTTATTGTTTACTATTGGGTGAATCAAGCTATTCCCCGTGTAGACAATTCATTGAATTTTAAGCTGCACTTTTTTCCATGTAGTTATTAATTTACTTTTTTGTTTTTTCTTGAAAATATATATAAGTTGAAAGAATGCTTAATTTCTTGACAAATACATTGTTTATCATAAAATGATGGATATTAAGATGCAGTATTTTTTAATATATAGTTTCTAAGAAAGTATAAGATTGGTTAATTATTATAAAGTTAATTTTCATTTCTCTCTCCGTTACATATTTAATGAAAACCTATGGCCATAGATTTATATTCTTTATGTACGTATTTCATAGTATGAAAGAATATAATCTAATATATTTTAAAGCACAATTCATAATTCAATAAGAAAAAGCACAATTCAAAATAAGTATATTAATATATCCACTTAAATATTATTGATAATTAAATTAATAAAATCAAATTGAATTATTTTGAAGAACAATATAGTAAAATAACAACATTCAGATATAAAAATAATACAATTACCAAACAAACTTAAATATTCAGCATTCAGTATTCAGACACCGCTCTTAATCGTTCTGACGACTATTCAGCATTCAGTGTTCAGTGCTTAATTTTATCAAACGGAACCTTAGTCTCATCGGTCAATAGATGTAATGAATGGTCAACGACTTACAAACATTGATCAATGATCACTGATCAATGATCAAACATCGTTGATTGGTTAACAGTCAATAACTGAGATTGTGGGTAAAATTAGCCTTTGCAAATTTTGAATTATTAATGATGGAAAGGTTAAAGGTAATTTTGTATTAAAAAAATAGTATATTGACATAAATTTATCAACTAATGAAATTTGAAGGAAAATAGAGTAAGATGCTGGAGTTATAGGACTATAGCAAGGAACTTTGCTTAATACTCAGGGATGGCAATGGGGCGGGTATGGGCGGGTTTTGCAATCCCATCCCCGCCCCGCTATGGAAATCCCCATTCTCATCCCCCGTAAAATTTACGAGCACTATAAAAAGAATTCCCATACCCGCCCCATAAAATCTCCACGGGTATCAGCGCGGGCAAAAATCTCCGTCTATTTTTTTTACTTTTTTTTTAATAAATAAATATCAATCTACTTATAATTCAAATGCTTATTTCAACAAATAAATTAATATTTAATTATAATACTAATATTTAATTATATAATCAAAACCTAAAAATTCCCATTTGTAGCTAATATTAAATATATTATCACTATTTAATTATCTATATTTAATATAATAATTAACAAATATATATTATAT